GGGGCGCTGCAGGAATGGTTGGACCAGATGAGTGCTTCCCAAAGCGGGGTAGGTATGGTGTTCCGGAGGTGTGGAAACTCTTCCTTAATTAATATTAAATCACAGTAGAAAGTCATTATTTCCCATTCTCCTTTGATTCTTTGGATTACAGGAAAGACAGTCTTATTTTGGCGCTAATGTGTATTTAATACCTTGTTAACATTTGCTAATTTCCTCTCTTATTTATTTATTTATTTATTTTTTTGAGACAGAGCCTAGCTCTTTTGCACAGACTGGAGTGCAGTGGCATGATCTTGGCTCACTGCAACTTCAGCCTCCTAGGTTCAAGTGACTCTCGTGTCTCAACCTCCCAAGTAGCTGGGATTACAGGCGCCAGGCTAATTTTTATATTTTTAGTAGAGATGGGGTTTCATTATGTTGGCCAGGCTGTTCTCAAACGCCTGACCTCAAGTGATCCACCAGCCTTAGCCTCCCAAAGTGCTGGGATTACAGGCGTGAGCCACCACACCCTGCCATTTAAAAACACTACAAGAGTCAGGGAGTGGGGTCTTAGGCTCTCAGAGCCTTTGCTAGGCAATTGCATCAATTTAGAATTTCATAACATTGTTACTTATCTCCTTCACATGACAAGCAATAGGAGGTTTCCATTTTGGGTAATGATTGTAGGCTTTGGAAGAAGAGTATGTTTATTTAAAGAAAATATTAAGTAAATGAGACCAAAGTGGTACCTATGATGGAAAATTCTGGACTAGTTGACTTTAGGATGGAGATGCCTTGACATGAAAATCAGATTTGAAATCATATTCTTAAAAATCAGTTTGTCTCCTCGTTGGGAGTACAGAGAATGAGTCTTATCTCCTTTTAGTGAAGGAACTGGAATGGGAATTTGCTGACATGTATTGTGTGAATTAAGGGATGAGGGAAAACTCTCTCCTCAGCACCCAATACACATCATCTTGGGGATTGTATCCTTGTATTAAGGTATCCCCAGTGTCTGACATAGTAAGAGTGCCATAAACAACTGTTAAGGAATGAATGACTGTTAAGTGACAAATTTCATCCATTTTATAATCCTGCCTCCAGGGTGTCCTACCGTAGGTCCCAGACACTGTTGCTTTTACTGCTGCATTGATACTCCTCTCTCACCTCTTTTACTTACGTTATGCCCAACTCCACAGAGCTTGCGTGTCAAAAGTTGTGCTCCCCACTTCCAGAAAACTGGGGTGACACCAAAGATTTCTTCTGAGGTAAGTGATTGAGGGGGAATGCACACTTAGAATGAGAAAAGAAGAAATCACTAGTTTTCTGAAAAGATTCAGAACTGAGGAGGTAAAAGTTATGTCTATACAGCACAACCAGATGTGACATTTAATTATTATCCAGTGAATTTAATCGGGCTAAGTCAGCCAAACCAACTCATATTTCTGGCATGAAATCTCTAGTTTGGCTGCCTATCCTGCCAAATCAATAGAAACTGGCACCAAACTCCTATTTTATTGTGTGGTGTGTTGGCATAGACATAGTCTTCTTGTTCAAAAAATAGGTACTTGAGAAAAAATCTGGCCATTAGGCGTTCTCCCAGCTTCTTTCTGGCAGCCTCTGGAATGCTAATACACACCAGGGATGTTTGGAAAGATTGAAGTTTCAAATTCAGGAAAAAGGGAACATGGCTTACAAGGGCGATGGAGCCACAGCTCATAAAAAACGGATGTTTCAAGTGAAAAAATACAACCTAGATGTCTCCGAATTTAAATGTGGCTTTACTACAATTAATCATACAGCATGTTTTCTAGAATCTTCCACAATAAAATGCTCAGTCCGTGAAATACAATAATAATTTTATGTATTTCAGTTTTTGTCTAAACAGACCCTGGGACAATTAAACTGAGGAGCAACAAGTCTATAAAGTATTTCCCCGCTAGGAAATATTTAGTATGGGAGTGTGTCCTCTGAGCTCTTACTCTAGTGTTCCTTCTGGTGCAGGATGGCTACTACACAATGCAGTTATTCCCAGAAGATGGAGAGAAAAGGTTTTCCAATAGCAATTTGTTTCGTAAACATGCTGTTCAGTAGCTAATTCCACATTATCAGGTAAGTTTTGGCACAGGACTGCCAATGGGTGGATAAGTCAACATATGAAACCCAGAGATAGCTTGATGGGCACACAAGGTTAGCAGGACATGTCTCATAAAGAATAGCACTGACATTCAAACCTGAGTTCTAATACTGGTAGTCTGAGGGTTGGAATGGGCCTACAGATGTACCGTGCTTGCTTTGCAGTGTTTTGTTTTGTGAATCGTATCCAAAAATCTCCAGGTTCTTAAAAAGTTTGAGATTTCTGGACACTCTTGAAAACTGGGAAGATCTGGCCCTTGTCTCAAGTCTCTTTGCCTTCCTTTCGCCACATTATTCTGTAGTTGGGTCCCTCTCTGCCTATCATCATACTTGTCCCTCTTATTTCTCTTGTTGAAGAGAAATATTTCTCTGTATCCATGACTCTATCAAAATAAGAAAACAAAAAGTAGCCTGGAAGGGCAGCTTCATGACATATGTCACCCACTGGGCCACTGGAGGCATTTGAGGTTGCCTTTCCACTCTAAAATAATGGAGCCTGACTCTGTTTCTTCCCTAGGCAACACATTCTCCAGTAACATTTCCCAGTATTCGCAGGGATCCTCCAGGGGTCTGTGTCATTTGTAAAAGTTCCTCCCTTCCCATTACAACTGGGTCAACCCCCTCATTTGGGTTAGAACTGTTGTATTCAAAACCATAAAGGATGTTCTTATTAAATCAATCATTCATTCCATTTGATCATAAATATCTAAATTACTGTGTCATTTGGAAATTACTCATTTCAGACTAATACCTTAAAAAGATCTTTGGCAAACTAAATTATGCCCCTCAGGCTCTTTGTCTTAACACAATCCTGGATAAAAGCTAAAACTCTCTTAATGGTCCAATTTGGCAACACTCCCAACTTGCAATTAGGTTACATTTTTAAAAGTTCATTTTATATTAGTTGTTTGCAGCTTATAATTCCCTTCTCTTTGACAATATTATAAATGTCGACAATTTTTCCAAATTTTGACCAAAAATTTCTCTTTAGCTATACAAAGGGATTGCATCAATCATAGGTTTTTTTTTTTTTTTCCTGCAAAATTACACAACCAAAGCTCTTATTTCCTCAATAAAGTTGTTTGTTATTAGGTATTTAAAAAACATCAGGAAATTCCACTTCAAGGTGGTGGTCAACTGGGACTGCTAGTAAGGGGAAGTAACACTTCTCTAATTATATCACACAAGGGCTTTTCTCTTTTAAAGAGTAACACAGTGGGTTTTCAGCACAGTTAAGAGAAAGCAGAAACCTCTAAACATTGGTTCCACCCTTGAAGAGAATGTATAAAGGATCCAGAACCCCTCAGTTTGTGTACAGGAAGACTTTAGGCACTCAATCCAGATGCCCGGCCAGCAGGGATGGTGAGGAGAGGCTCTACCACAGAAAATGTCAGATGTGGCTTCACCAGTGGGTTTTGCCTTACAAGTGCTTTCTGTGAAGAGTTTGTTTTCCAGAAAAATGTCAGCATATGGATAATAAAATAAGCATGTGCCCTCATGTCTGCATGAATATAGCTTTGGTGGTAAGAATTGTAGCTGTTGTGATTACCCCTGGTAAGCAATGGACCATCCCAGCTTCACAGACAAGTATACCAAATCAACTCCAGGACTGTTTTATGGGCAATTCATTCTTCAATGAAAGCACGTGTACATGCAATCACTTGTTTAAAGCTCTGGACAAGTGGTAACCAGCAGAGACCTTCAAGGCATTGAGGAAAAATCTGACATAGTTCCTGTCTAAGTAATAGCCAGCCCTCCAAGGCATGTAATAGTTAGAATGTTGCTCCATGACTTTTGAGTTTTACTATGAAGTTCTCATTACACAGAGATCTTGAAAGCAGAGTATAAATATCCTTGAGAACTCCCTGGGACGAGGAAGGATTCTCAGTGGCAGCTCACATAGAGGCAGAGTGGTATGCCCAACAGGGGAACAGTGAGCCAAGAGTGGAAAAGAGAATAGGGTCAGTAATACCTGAGTTCTGGGCTTTATCTACAAACCCAGAAATCATCCCGCTGGGGCAGTGTCTATGGAAATTCCTTCTCCAAGTCAGAGATGTGCTGTGGGGAAAGAGAAGAGTGGGCAGGAAGGAATGTACAGTAACATTTTTCTGCAACTTCTTGGCTCCATCTGTTTTCACCAGTCGCATAGACAAATGACTCTTTCACCTTTTCCCATGCAGGAATAAATGATTATCTCACTGTCATAGAAAATAGAATCCTATCCTGCAAAGCTTCCACTTGGCAAAAATCCAAGTGTCCACTGATAAAATATTCAGATGGGGAAATCTCCCGCCCCCTCCCCCTTCTCCCACCAGCATAAAAGGTATTGGGGGTGGGAGGCAACTGGAGAAGGAAATGAAATCATGCGGGTACACCAGGAAAAGATAAGTGTTGGTGGCAGCAGAGTTGGTGAGTGTTGTGGGCATTACCTCTTGATGAGGCTTCCAAGAAGGCTCCCGCTCAAGTCCTGGTGGTTCTGAGAACAAGCATTCTTGCATCAATAGCTAATAGGCTGTCCAACCAGATGTTATCTGGGTGGGATAAGAGGGTGAGAAAACAGACCTGTTGTACGCTGTTGTCAACTACATCACTGTGGTCAGAGAAGGCTGGTGGTGTGGTGTTTAGCAGGGCACCTCGTTCACAGTGAGGCGGACCAGATTACGTGGCTGTTCAAATTCGTTTCCTCTTGTGATTGGTAAAATACGAGAGTTATAATCATTCATGCATTACTAAAGCCTCCTTTCCATCATTTTGAAGGGACTTTTTTTTTTTTTTTTCTAGAACAGAGCATGCATCCAGCAGAAACCTAAAGCATTGGCTTTTCTAAGCAATCTTTTGCAATAAGCACACTTAAAAACAAACCAACCAACAACTGCTTATGGTACCTGTGACAAGACTGGAGATGATAAGTGGTAAGACCAGCATCTGTAACATCCTCATCAGAAGTTCCCCAGGAAAGGAGAAGTACTTGACTTCCCTGTAGCTCATTCTGTAAGGTCGGAGAGCAAATCCAAGGATTGTACCTGACGGAAAAAAAAAAAAAAAAAAAAAAAGACGACTTGAGTCTTTTTTGAAACAGAAGCAATAGTCCTAGCAAAATGAGTGTGTATTTGGCTGGTGGTTGCATTGATTTAAGCAGCAAATATCTGCGCTGCTTTAGGAGCAAAGAGCTGTATCTGTCTTTGCAGTCCGTATCTGTGAGGGTCTGGCTGAATTCATGGCTTCAGGCAGAACTTATAGAAAAAAACTGCTTCTGGTTTGAACAAATAATAAAATTCCTTGATCTAACTTGAATGCAGTGGAACTCATTCTGACATGGCTCAATACAGAGTTACAAAGATTGGGTCATAATTAGGAAACAAATAAGCATTCACGAACAGGTGATATAGAAAAAAGGCTTTATTTTAATTAAGTTCCTTTATAACAACAGATGTTGGAATTGCTAGCATAATCATTTTTAAAGGATAGTGTGATTTTATTTTTTTCCAATTAGAAAAACCCCTCCTGCTCACGTTGTTAATCCACTTTCATCATCTCCCTGTCTTCACACCACATTTTCTCCCTCTGTCTACATGGTCTTGACATTGCCTTGGTAACTGTATTGTACAGACTTGTTAGTTGCTGGCAAGAGAAGACTCCAAAATGAGCAGAGATTTTTCTCCCCCAAAATTTCCCTGAAAACATGGGCGAATACAGGGGAAAGAGAAAGCAATTTTCCCCTTAATTTTCCCTCTACAACTGGAACTTTAAAATCTTCTTAGAATGAGAAAGTTACATGTAAATCAAATTATGCATGATAATGATTGAAATGTTCATAAATTAATAACGGTATTGGTGTTAATAAAAGTGTAAATTTACTCCCTCTCCCCTTTCCCTAATTTACTTTCCTTGCCAAAGAAAATTTACTTATGCCAGTATTGTCAATGTTGTTAAAGTTTTTGCCTTGCTCTTATTACTGAAACATGTGATTCCAGTTTTTAAAAAGGTTCATTTATGTTATAGAGAAAATAGCATGCCCAGCACTGAGTTAACTAGGAGCTAAAGGCTGGGGGTAGTGGGGTGGTGGGGGAGGCAGGAATAGTACTGAGTTGGCACAGCTGTTCCAGAGGAGGCAAGAAGTCTTTTATGGAAACTGAACTATCTTAACTTTTTATGAAATGGGACACAAAGTTCATCTGAATTGTCACTGCAACTCCCATTTCAATTCTTGGGTCTCAGAAACCATGAAGAATCTATTTTTTTTGTCTATGTACTGTGATACTCTATTAGGAATCTGAATCTATGTGGCTAAAAAAACCCCAGCTGACCCAGTTCTCAGGGTCTTCTGGAAAATATTTATTGCTTTTTTCCAATGTAACAGTAATATGGTTAAGAGAGAAAGTTGATTTGGAAAATGCAGAAATATGGGGCAAAAGCCTGCCCATATTGGTTCTATCACTGAAATAAATAGCAAATAACAAATGCTTACTGAGCTTTTGCTATATGCCAGGCGTTACCTAGGTTAGCAAATTTAATCCTTGCAACAACTCCAGGAGGTGGGTACGATTTTACCACCAACTTACTGAGGGAGAAACCTAATCACAGTAAACTTAAAACTTGTTCAAAGTCAAATATACTCAAGTAGCAGAGCTAGGATTTAAACATCGGCAGTTTGGGCTCAAATCCCAGGTTCTTAACCCTTTTATGTGTTTCCTCTTCTCCTGTAAAGCAAAGGCAACCACTTAGTGCATCAGTTGAGTTTCTTTCCAGAATGTCCCAATACATAGTTAAACACATGGAAATCACACAGAGTATGCTTTTCCATATACAGTCACCATAAACATCACTTTTAGGTCTCCTGATACCAGATTCATTCACTGTATCATCAGGCTTTACTTAGTCCTCGCTCTGTTACTGAACACTTAGGTTGCTCGGCAGTTTTCACTTTTATGAAGAACATCATGATGAATATATGAAGGCTATTTTACATCTGGGAATTTTTTTTTAGTGTAGTTTTAGAGAAAGGGAACCAATACCTCAAAGGATACGACCACCTTAGTCCATGTCACCAAATTGCTTTCTGCACAGGTTGGCCGGGTAGCTTAATGCTCCGCTCCACTAGCGAATGAGGCTTTATTTCTGCACCCCCAGAAGCAGAGTATTATCATAAAAAGATGTTAAAACAAGCAAAATTTGCTAATGTGATGAGTAAATCGTATATATTTTGTTTTCTTTTGTATTTACTTAACATCTAATGATGTTGATTATTTTTCCTAATTGTATTTTCTCCAAGCTTCTATTAGATCCTAACCGTTTAAGAGTCTATGTACGTGTGTGTGTGAGCGTGTGTGTGTAAATATTGGGTAGAGTATTTTATATAACGAAGATAATTACCCTTTGCCTATGTATAAAATACTTGCTATAACTATTTTTCTGGCTTGTTTGCCTTATATTATTACATTAAACATGTACAGGTTTTTGAATTTTTATAACATTATGTCTGTGCACCTTTTTTATTAGGTAATTTCTTCATGAGTTTATACATTTTAATTTCCCTACCCCCTCTCAAGTTTAATAGAACTTAAGTTCATTTTTCTTTCTTTTTTTGCTTGTTTTCTTTTAAAATATTTAACTTTCAGTCTTCCTGGAACTCAATCTGGGGTAAGGCATTTAATTCTGATTTACAATGTGAGTTATTTAACATGTCAGCATCTATAACATACAGGAATTAATAAAGAATTTGGTTATATCTGTCTTTTTCCTGCTTGCTCACATAGAAGCCAAGTCACAAAAAAGATAAGTGCTTTATCATACATAAATAAACATTTTGCTTTACTTCCAAATTAATTTTTTGTTGTGGTTGTTGTTAAGATAGAGTCTCACTCTGTTGCCTAGGCTGGAGTGCAGTAGCACAATCTTAGCTTACCTCAACCTTCACCTCCTAGGTTCAAGCGATTCTCCTGCCTCAGCCTCCTGAAGTAGCTGGAGCTACAGTCATGTGTCACTACACCTGGTTAATTTTCATATTTTTAGTAGAGGTGGGGTTTCACCATATTAGTCAGGCTGGTCTTGAATTCCTGATCCATCTGCCTCAGCCTCCAAAAGTGCTGGGATTACAGGCATGAGCCACCTTGCCCAGCCCAATCAAATTAATTTTACTGGAATTGATTAGTGTTTTCTGATCTTCATTTAAATGCATTTATTGACATTCAATTATAACAAAACATATGCATAGTAAACAAGGGGCTCATTTTGGTCATCTGGAATTTGAACATGTCAAGCTGTTAGAGGCATTTTAGATATTCTTCAAACAACAGTTGAAGACCAGGCTTGGTTTTACAAATTCATATTCAAGTTGGCTGTTTGTCATTAGAATTGTACTTGCTTACATACAGTAATATTTCCAAGGGTAGACAGGATCCTGTCTGGTCCAAAAAACTTATCTTATTTATAATATATAAATAATTGGTAGAATAGCTGTTCTGCTAATGACATACGTTCTAGGAGCAAGAGTCAAACGAGTGCTGATGAAGGAAGCAATAATTCTAAATATTAGGTGCACTTGAGCTCATCTCCTGGAGTCTTACCCGTGCCTACACTATCTCTACTCCCATTGGTACAATGATGCTGGCTGTGTATACGGCCTCTTCCTCTCCTTGGGTGTTCCACTACCTTCTCTCCTCTTACCCCATCAAGTCCTGCACTTACTCAGTGTTAGGAGGGAAAATAAGCCAGCACCACGAATGAATTCTGAGCAATGTGTGAATGACAAAGTCCGTTACCTGCCAAAGAGATGTCTAACAGAACAAGGCAAGATAGTCAGGGAAGCAAAGTCTCAAGAGGTGATGCTATTTTGTGTGTTTCTCTCCTTATAGTCAAAAAGCTGGTCTTGCTGGGAAGCACAGCCCCGAATTAGCTGCTCTAGGATGTGTCTCTATTTCTTTACATTCCTCAATACAACACCTACGTTGTCTAAAAGCTCTTCTCTATAGTAGGAGGACATCATTTCTCTACTGTAGGACATCTCTTCTCTATAGAGAGGAGACATCATTTATTTATAAGGGATAGTTTTAGGTCAAAGGTTTTGAAGAGAAGTGTTGTTTAGAGTGATAGTAGATTCAGACACAGTTTGAATCGTTTTTGTCTCTGACTATGCTTTGGTTGGTTTACTCTCTCTGGGTTTACCAGGCAACCTATTTCTACTCTTGAAAAAGATGAGATTACATTGAGAAAGAGAAATGTGTATTGAGCTCTTACTATGTGTTAATGGTGGTGTTTAACCCTTATCATAACTTTAAGAGGTAGATATTATTGTATCTATTTTATTTTATTTTATTTTTTGAGATAGAGTCTTACTCTTATCACCCAAGCTGGAGTACAGTGGCAAGATCTTGGCTCACTGAAACCTCCACCTCCTGGTTTAAGCAATTCTCGTGCTTCAGCCTCCTGAGTAGCTGTAATTACAGGCAGGAGCCACCAGGCCCAGCTAATTTTTGTATTTTTAGTAGAGATAGGGTTTCGCCATGTTGGCCAGGCTGGTCTCAAACTCCTGACCTCATGTGATCCACCCGCCTCGGCCTCCCAAAGTGCTGGGATTACAGGTGTGAGCCACTGTGCCAGGCCTTGTATCTATTTTAAAGATTAATAAACTGATGCTCAGAAGTCAGTTAACTTTCTCAAGCTTATAGATCTCATAAGTGGTTGACTTGGGGTTCTAAACAAAGCCCAGTGCTCTTTCCACTACTCTTTTAGTGCCTCTCAAACACAAACACGTCCTTGTAGCCTGGGCCTGAGTATAGTTCTCAAACGAGTCTGGCTCCTGGGTCTTTAGCATCTTGAACTCCTACACGGTACATGACCTGGAGGAAAAGCCTTGGATCTCCTAGACATGTCCTGCAAGCACCCAGCACAACTTGGAACCCTGTACAGGTCTTCTTACTTGTTGAGGATCTCAAAAGTGGTGGAGCCACTTTCAAAAACACCTATACCAAATCTCTTTTTATGATTTAAATAAACTCACATAAACTTTATTAATTGAAATAGT